GTGCTGGCTGCTCTGGGTCTGGGAGTGAGTATGGGGGTGCTGCTACTGGGGCCAAATGTGTTTGTTCTCTGGTGTATTGGGGTTCTGCAAATGAGGCTGGTGGGGTCTGTAGTGCTAGCATTGGGAATGCTACTCATGAGTCATATCTACTAATATACTCATTGTCTGTTCCAGTGTCCAGTGTGTCATCTATGGACAGGTAATCCCATAGGGGCAATGGCACATTCTCTGGCATATGTGATTCTGATGGGAACAAATAGTCACTGTTGTGCAATGTTCCAAGTGGTGCCCATGATGGTGAGCTGTTGGGTGTATGCCCAGTCATGAAATGGCCCAGAGCGTTGCATGGTTGGTTCCTGTTAGGCAGTTTGGTAGTGGTATGGTGGTTAGTTTGGGGATTTTCTACTCAGCTTGTTCTGTTTTATATCCTCCTCCACATGTTGGCCATGCAGTTGCCTTGTGTTTGGTTAGTGACAGTTCAGTGCAGTGTCTGTTCAGTGTTGCAGTGTGGTGTTGTGATGTCTGTTTAATGGTTCACTTGGGTCAGATCACATGCTCATCACCAAGATGGAGCAGCAGTCTCTCATTCTGTATTGTACTGTCTGTCTGTCTGTCATTGTCATTGTATCCCCCAGTCTAATGTTATGTTCATGTCCACATTTGCCTCCACCTGACTAAGCTGACATGGCTGTGTCCTCATCTCCTGTCCCCCTGGCCCCCCTACTCCAATGGACAGGCCACAAGTACTTTGTGACCTTCATTGATGGCCATTCACATCATCTAGTGGTAAAATTGGCTAAATCAAAGGATGAAATCTTTGCACTCATGAAGCAGTACTTCAAGAGAGCAGAAGCAGAGACAGGTTGTCAGCCAAACTATCTTTGGAGTGATGGTGGTGGTGAATATGGCTCAAAGGAATTTGAAGCCTACCTGAAGTCCAAAGAGATACACCATGAGAAGACAAATACACATACACCACAGGAAAACAGAGTGGCAGAGTGCATGAACCACACCATTGTAGAATCCATGCATGCTATGCTAAGCAATGATGGCCTACCCAACAATGCTCTCAGAACCATCAGTCCCTTAAAAAACCTGCTGTCAGTCATTCCCTGGACTGTTTCCCCCCCATGCCTGATGTGTTCTGGGACTAATCAGTACTTGGAAGGCTGAGAATTTTTTGGAGGTCAATCTGGCACTTCAGAACATGATGGTCAAACCATCCCCCTCTCAACTGATGCATTTCTGGCACAGGAACACTGGTATGGAAGTTGGGGTGAGACAAAACCACCTTGTGCTCTGAGCACCATAAAGAGGGTTCACTAGATCTTGCTCTGATCTGAACTGTAGATGACTGGGGAAGGATTATTTGGTCATATGTGACCAAAGGCAATATTCAAGGCCAGATGGAAGCACAAGATTCTGCTCCACAGCAGTTCAGTAGCATATCCTTCTGATGACACCCAGGGGTAAAGAGGATTTTGTCTTACCCTAACTTCCATACCAGTGTTCCTGTGCCAGAAATGCATCAGTTGAGAGGGGGATGGTTTGACCATCATGTTCTGAAGTGCCAGATTGACCTCCAAAAAATTCTCAGCCTTCCAAGTACTGATTAGTCCCAGAACACATCAGGCATGGGGGGGGAAACAGTCCAGGGAATGACTGACAGCAGGTTTTTTAAGGGACTGATGGTTCTGAGAGCATGTTATACTGATGGCACTGTGGTGGCCACCAGTATTTGATAAGAATTCCTTGAAGAAAATGACCATGTGAGCTAGAGAGATGATTTCATGAGTTGTGGTAAAAGAGGGAGAGTTAATGGTACAAGTCCAATGTTTGTTATTGTTTACATGCTGACAAATCATCTGGAAGATCATGTGGTTTATTATGTAATCATATTTTCCCATCCTTCATGCCCTCAATCCCATCAAAAGGTCACTTTTCACTATTTCACCAGTCAGGGACAAAAGTGTTGCAATGCACTTTTTAGAAAGAATAGGGTGTATCTCAGCATGTATTGCTTTGTTTAGACTGAACCTTAGTGCTCTAGAAAGCTTATAGTCACCCCTTTCCAATTGTATAGGTATCATGATTATCTGTGCAGAATAGCCCAAACTACATCAGCAGCAAGTCACACCTCACAAACATTGCAACACTTTTGTCCCTCACTGTACCCACATACCTGAGGAAAAGCAGCAAAAGCTGGGAGTTAAGTCCCTTGAATGTCAGTTCCTAGGCTACTCAGAGAACAAGAAGGCATACACCTGTGTACAGAAGACTTTGGGTCAGATCATGGAGATGTGTGATGTCATTTTTGATAAGGGAGATGGGACAGACAAGTCCCAAGTCCAGATTGACATTGTTGTCAAGGAAATGAAGCCTGTAGCACCCACTATCAGTGATCAGAATGCTTGAGGGCACAAGTACCCACCTACAGAGGACAGCAGCAGCTCTGACAGCTCAGATGTGGCCTCAGAAGGAGGAAATAACCTAGTACATGACTGGGGGGACATAGATGACACTACAGCTACTAATGGTGATGAAGCAATTGCAAATGATCAGGCTGTTTTGACACCTGAGCCCGGAATACAAGTCCAGAGTGAAAAAGGTGTTAGTGGGTTGAACCATGGGAATGATGACAACAAACACACCTTGGAATGAAGGTGCCAGGCAATGCCTATGCCTTGTCAATGCCCTGGGTCATCACACATGCCTCCAGGACCATATCCAGTCCCAATCCCACCTCCAGGTGTCAGAAGATCATCTAGAATTTGAAAAATGCCTGTAAAAGATGATGATCAATGATATTTTGTCAACACCTATGAATGATGGACACTACCTGTGGCAGGGGATGCTGTGGGAAGGGAAAAAGGTGGTGAGAGTGGTGAGAGAGTGCCAGAGAGCATGGAAATGGTGAGTGAAGGCAGTGATAGGCCTCATGGTGAACAGCAACACCACAATGCTTACCAAGCAAACACATCATGTGATCACAAACCAGCAACCTTTGCAGAGGCAATGTGTCATCCTGACACTGATCACTGGTATGCAGCCATGGCCAATGAACTTACGATGTGTAAAAATATAGGATTATACAAGGAGGTTCCTTGGCCACCTGATCAAAAGATCATTGACTCAAAATGGGTCTACAAAATAAAATGAGGACTGACAGGTGAAATTGATAAATACAAGGTGCAACTTGTCACAAAAGGGTTCACACAGGTGCATGGCATTGACTACACAGAGATGTTTGTGCCCATAGCCAAGTTCTCTATGATTAGGATTCTACCTGCTCTTGCTGCTAAGTACAACCTCAAGGTTTGTCAGATGGATGTGAAATCTGCCTTTTTGAATGGCAAACTTGAGGAAGAAATTTATCTTCATCCCCCTCCATGTTTTCAAGACTCTAGTGATGTCATCTGGTGTCTTTATCATGCACTCTATGGACTCAAACAAGCTCCAAAATCCTGGTATATGAGACTTCAAGAAGTCTTTGAGTCACTTGGATTCACATGCAGCAATGCAGACCATAGTCTATTTTTCAAGGTCAAAGATGGTGTCTTAATCATCATAGCTGTGTATGTCAATGATAAACTAATCCTGTCGAAGAGCCATGAAGCCATTGAATGCTTAAAAACCCAACTATCAGCCAAGTATGACTTCTTGGACTTGGGGGAAGCTTGTTGGATACTCAGGATGGAAATTATACAAGATTGCAACAAGGGAACAATAGAACTCTCCCAACATCACTATATAGAGTTGATTCTCGAGCACATAGGCATGCAGGATGGCTGGACAGTGTCCACACCCATTGAGCAAAACCTAAAACTCGAAAAACTTGATGTCCCTGCATGTGACCTTCAGTCATATCAATCAGCACTCAGCATGCTGATGTATGCCATGTTGGCAATGCAACCTGACTTTGCTTTTGTTGTAGGTGTACTCAGCAGGCATGCTGCTACCCCTGGAGACTGACATTGGTCTGCATTGAAGCAAGTCTACTGGTACCTATGCAAAACTTTGAGTGCATGTCTACAGTACACAAGGGACCCTAGTGGCTCCCTCATAGGTTATGCTGATGCAGACTGGGCTGCAGGTGTTAATGACCAATGCTCAGCCTCAGACTACATCTTTACCCTGTCTGGTGGAGCTGCAAGCTGGTTTTTGAAGAAACAGATCCCTGTAGCTCTGTCAAGCACAGAAGCCAAGTACATGGCTGTTTCAGCAGCTGGAAAGGAACTCCTTTGGGTTTGCACCTTACTCCATGAACTAGATGCAGTTGAGATCACACAACCAACCCCCCTTCTAGTCAACAATCAATCTGTGATAGTGCTAACTGCTAATGCCATGTTTCATGATCACACCATGCATACATCAATTCATCATCATTTTATTTGTGAGAAGGTGGAGAGTGGAGACTTGGCAGTCCAGTATGTGTCTACAAATGAGCAGGTGGCTGATGTCCTCACCAAGGGGCTGTCATGTGAGAAGCATGAGCATTTCTCTTCTGGTATGGGTATTACTTTCTAAGCCTTGTTACACCAAGGGGGTGTGTTGAAGTGTTGTCACCTTTACCTGACTTTTGCTTACATTGTACAAGCTTACATAATAAATCTTCGCACTTAGGATGTTTGTTTTTCCTTCAGGTGTACCTCAGACTTCTTCTGACTGAAGCCTGAGGTAACTGTTCTTCTTTATTAATTAATAGCTACCTTACTGACTACTATAGTGTCCTTCCTAGGTTAGCTGTGAATATTAGACTCCTTCTGACTGAAGCCTGAGTCTCCTTCCTAGGTCCCTCATCTTGGCCTACCTTCAAGAAAGGAAGCATGGGATAGCATAGGTGCAGAAACAATATAGAATTGCTGGAGACATACACCTTGCAATACAATGTCAACTGGCATTGCATCTTGTTGTGCACCAAGTAATTCTGAATGCATAGAGAGCCAGCTCAAAGTTCTGCAAGGTTCTTTTCAACTGTGAAGATTTTCAAAAGTACATGGATCTGTATCTGTTCTTCAAATGCTACATTGATAGGAAATACAGCAGTCTCACTGAACCACTTCAGCAAACTTAGGAGCTATCCTTTGCTACTTAATATTTTTGCTGGGTGACATATAAGGTTAAATTTTCAAATGTGTGGAGCAAATAATGTCTTACAAATCTGATTCTTCTTTGCAATATCCAAAAAGATGGAGCATAAAACCTCTACATTTTCACCATGCTCCTGAAAGGCTTTGTCAATAAGCCTATTAACATTAGCATGGATACCTGAAGTTTGGTAGTGTTTGACAGCCAAAGTCAGGTTCTCCTGCAAATCACCCTTTCTTCCTTTGCCTTGCAACAAGAAGTACAAATACTCAAACACAAGTATGGCACCTACAATCATAAATTATGTCAACTAAATCATCAGAAGGTATTATTTACCAATGCCATGTTGTGCAATGAACTTCATAGAAGATTGCATTAAGGGGGACAATTTGGGCATTTTGAGGGACTGGTCATGGTAAATAGCAGGCTAACATTTTAAATGGAAAAGTCAGTCAGTGCTAGAAAATGTAAGAAACAGATAAAACTTACAATCTGAAGATTGCACCATGGGAACTGTAAAACCCAATGTAAATAAGAAAACAAGACCACAGACCAACTGTAAATATATTGGCAACTATTGCATGCTCAATTCAAGTAGACTCATACATTCTACACAAAATCCTTCAGCAGTTTGGAAGACCATGAGGACTGATGACTACTAACATTCTGACAGATGAACATGGAGATCTGAGGATCAAAGTGATATTCCATGAAAGCATGCACCTACATCCTGATGGTATTGTTAAATGAAAGCTCAATACATCAATTAACAATGCTTACCATCTGTATCATGTTACAAACTGTGAAATATGGACATTACACAAATCTCACCACCTATGTCACCAACAAATTTGTAGTAGAAATGGTCAGGGTGCAACTACCACTGCTGTTTGACACCACTCACTTGCTACAAACCCAAGTCCAACAAGGTCATGGTGAACATAATCAGCATGCATACATCACTACATGCCACAATCCTACTCACTGCCTGTGAACCAAAGTGCAGCAAGTAGGCAATGGATGTGATCAGCAAACATACACCACCACCTTCCATGACTGCACATACTTGCTATGAATCCAAGTTTGACAATGAACATGGTCAACCACCACCTGTTGAACTCCACTTACTTGCTATCAACCCAAGTGCAACAAGATGGCAGTAAACATGGTCAGCATGCATCCACCATCATTGGCCATGATTCCACTCACAAACTATGAGCCCAAGGTCAGCAAGATGGCATTGCACAGAGTCAGCAATCATCAACCACCACTTGCCATGACTCCAAATCCACTCACAATCTATGAGCCCAAGTCCAGAATGGCAGCAGTCAGAATGTATCTACTGCCACCTACAATGAATTTTGCTCACTTGCTATTAACCCAAGTGCAGCAGGGTGGCAATAAACATGGTCAGCATACATCCTCCACCACTCACTATGGCTCCACCCACAAACTATGAACCCAACACCAACAGGGTGACATTGAACATGGTCAGCATGGATCCATCACCCCCTGGCATCATCCCACTCACAAACTATGAACCACATCCAACAGGGCAACAGGAACATGATTAGCATATATCCACAGATAACTACCACAAGTCATGGCTCCACTCACTTGCTATAAACCAAAGTCCAACAACATAACAGCAAATATAGTCAATTTCAAACCACCCCAACCTGCAATGACTCCACTCACTTGCTATCAGTGCAACAGGGTGTGGTACACATGGTTAGCAAACATGCAAACCCTCCATGGATGATCATCCTACTCACAAACTGTAAACAGAAGTTCAACAGGATCACCAGAAATATGGTTAGTATCCACCCATCACCACCTGCAATGACTGCCCTCACAAGCTATAAAGCAAAGTTCAAAAATAGTGGTGAGCATGGTTAGCATGGGTCCACAACTGCTAGCAATGATGCCCCTCACTTGCTATGAAACCAATGCCAGCAGGACAGCAGTGAACATAGTCAGCATGCATCCTCCACCACTGTGTGCCATTATTCCACTCACTTGCTATCAACACAGATCCAACAGGGAGGGAGTAAACATGGTCAGCATGCATGCACCACCACCTGCTGGCATGACCACACACACTTGCTACAATCCAAGGCCAACAGGGCAGCAGGGAACATGCTCAACATCCATCCACTACCACTTGCATTCCACTCACTTGCTATCAACCCAAGTCCAACAAGATGGAAATAAGCATGGTTAGAATGCATCCTCCACCATCTGCCATGATTCCACTCACAAACTATGAGCCAAAGTCCAACAACAGGGTGTTGAACATGGTTAGCAAACATGCTCCACCACCAGCCATGACTGGACCCACTTCCTGTCAACCCAAGTGCAATAGGGTAGCAGTAAACATGGTTAGTAGTCATCTGCCACATGTGATGACCCCACTCACTTGCTGGGGACCCAAGAACAATGGGCAGCAGTGCACATGGTCAGAATGGATTCACCACCACATGCAATGACTCCACACACTTGCTGGGAAGCCAGGTCCACAAGTTTTTGTATGAGACATAATAAGCAAACATCCACCACTAATAACCACAAGTCCACTCACTCCCTATCAACCCACATGCAACAGGACCACAATGAACATGGTGAACATGCATCCACCACCACCTCCCATGACTCCACTCACAAACTATGTCCCAAGGTATGCACAACAGGTTGATAGTGGCAATGGTCAATTGCTCAGTATCCATCCATTGCCAGTTGTCATAACTCTACTCACAAACTATGAACCCAGGTGCAAAAGGAAGGCAACAAACAAAGTCAGGTATCATCCATCATTACATGCCATGACTCCACTCACAAGCTATGAACCAAAGGGCAACAGTGTGATAGTGAACATGGTCACCATGTGTCCTCCTCCACCTACCATGATGCCACTCACCAACTATGAATAAAAGGGTAACAGGGCAACAGTGAATATGTTAGGCATACATCCAGCACCTCTTTCCATGACTTCACTTACTCCCTATAAACCCAAGTCCAACAGGTTGGGAGTTGTCATGGTGAGCATGCATCTACCACCAGCCATGAGTAGGACATGACTCTGCTCACTCGCTATTGACACAAATCCAACAGGGCATTAGAGAACATGATCAACATGCATCCTCCACTTGCTATGACACCACTCACTCCCTATAAACCCAAGTCCCACAAGGTAGCAATCAGCATGGCTGACATCCATCTGCCACTACCAGCCATAACTGCACTCACTTGCTATGAAACCCAGTACAATAGAATGGCAATGAAAATTAATATCCACCACCAGCTGCCATAAATCCACTTACCAACTGTGTAATCAAGTGCAACAGGACAGTAATCAGTATGCACCCATCACCTGCTATGTCTCCACTCACAATCTATGAACCCAAGACCAGTAGGGCAACAGTGAACATGGTCAACAACATTCACCACCACCTGCCATGACTCCACTTACTTCCTATGAACCCAAGTGCAACAGGGCAGCAAAGCATAAGGTCAACATAGACCCACTACCAGTGACTATGACTCCACTCACACCCTATGAACCCAAGACCAACAGGTCAGCAAGCATTCACCATGACCTGCCATGACTCCACTCACTCCCTATGACCCCAAGTGCAACAGGTCAGCTTGCATCTACCACCACCTGCCATGACTTCACTGACCAACTGTGAACCCAAATCCAATGGGGCAGCAGTGACCATGGTCAGCAATGGCCATCACTACCATCACTCCACTCACCCACTGTGGACCCAAGTCACAATGGGCAGTAATGGCTATGGTCAGCTTGCTTCAACCATCACCTGCCATGAGCCTACTCACTTGCTATGAATCCAAGTCCATCAGGGTGGCAGTGCACGTGATCAGCATCCATCAACCACTGCCTGTCACTCCACTAACCAACTGTGAACCAAAGCCCAACAGGGCAGGATTGAACATGGTCAGCAACCCTCCTCCACCTGGCATGACTCTGCTTACTTGCTAGTTCACATGGTCAGCATGCAACCACCACCACATGCCATGACTCTACTCACTTGCTATGAACCCAAATCCAGAAGAGCAGCAGTGAACACCATCAACATGATCCTTCACCACCTGCCATGACTCTACTTACTTCCTATAAACCAAAGTCCAACATGGTAGCATTAGCATGATCAGTGTGCACCACCTGACATAACTTCACTCACTTGCTATACCCCCAAGTCCCCCAGAGCAACAGTGAACATAGTCAGCATGCATCTACCCACACTTGCCATGACTCTGCTCACAACCTATGAACCCAAGTCCAATAGGCAGTGCCTATGGTAAGCATGCATCCATTATCACCTGCTGTCTTCACTCACAGTCTATGATCCCCCAAATCCACCAGGGCATTAGTGAACACAGTCAGCATGCATCATCATCATTACCTGCCATGCCTCCACTCACTTGCTATGAGCCCAGATCCAACAAGGCAGCAGTAAACACTGTAAGCATCCATCCCCCACCACCTGCAACAACTCCACTCACAAACTGTGAGTGCAAGTCAAACAAGTCAGCATACACCCACCACCACCCACCATGACTCCACTCACTAACTGTGGACCCAAGTCAAACAGAGTGGCAATGAACATAGTCAGCATGCATCTACCACCACCTGCCATGGTTCTACTCACTCCCTATGACCCCAAGTCCAATAAGGTAGTCAGCCTGCTCTACCACCCCTGCCATGGCTCCACTTACTTGCTATAATCACCAGACCAGCAATGCACAGGGTCAGCATGCATCCACTATCACCTGCCACAATTCCACTGACCAACTGTGAACCCAAGTCCAACAGGTGGCAATGAACATGGTCAGCAATCCAACAATCCACCACAACCTGCCATTACTCCACTCACAACCTATGAACCCAAGCCCAACAGGGTAGCAATTTACATGGTCAGCAAGCATCCACCACCTATTATGACTCCACCCACTTGCTTTAAACCCAAGTCCAAGAGGGCAGAAGTGAAAACTATCAGCTAGTATCCACCACTACTTTCCCTGACTTCACTCACTCCCTATGAGCCCAAGTCCAACAGTGCAGCAGGGACCATGGTCAGCAATCCACCACCACCTGCTATTACTCCACTCACAACCTAGGAGCCCAAGTCCAACAGGGTAGCAATGAACATAAATGTGGTCAACAAACATCCATATCCACCTGACTTGACTCCACTCACTCGCTTTGAAGCCAAATCCCACAGGACAGTAGTAAACACTGTCAGCAAGCATCCACCACCACTTTCCATCACTGCACTCACTCCCTGTGAACCCCAGTCCAACACAACCAGGTAGCAGCAGACATGATAAGCTTGCATCTACCACCATCTGCCATGATTCCACTCACCCCCTATGACCACAAGTCCACCAGAGGAGCAGTGAATATGATTAGCATCCATCATCCACTATCTGATATGAATGCACCTACAAACTGCCCATCCAAGTTCCACAGGGAAGCAGTAAATGCAATCAGCATGCATCCTCCATCATCTGTAACCCTACTCACTTGCTTTCAGCCCAAGTCCATTGAGGTGGGAGTGAACAAGGTCAGCATCCATTCATCACCTATTTCAGTGAGTTCACCCACAAACTGTGAACCCACATCCACAGGGCAGTAGTGAATATGGTCAGTATCCATCCTCCTACACCTACCATAACACCACTCACTTGCTATGAACCCATGTCACAAAGGGTTGCAATGAATGTGGTCACCACACATCCACCACTACCTTGCCATAGATGCACTTACATACTATCACACCAAGGACAATAGCCATCACTACATTTAGCCTGCACTAAGCAGTCACTTTGAGAGTTTCACTTACTTCCTATTAATCCATCAGCCTCTCACATATACAATACATTCATTCCTTACATATGGAAACCACTTTGAAAGGATAGAGGAGAGGACTCTGTGTCCAATTTGCCCAACCTTCTTATTCATGCACATCTTCAATGTCCTTGCACCTGTCAGTACATTGTAGATCTTCAGCTTCATCACTTACTTCATTATAGCAAATTCAATACACAGCCCCAGGTTAGTCTGCTGTGTGGAGATGAGGAGTTGTTGCAGTCCCCCCTCCCCTAATGCATTTGCTGTGCAAGTCAGTAGGGGTGTACAATCTGCACCCTCTTCATCCATTCCTGTAGTGATTTCTCATCCACCATGCCATCTTACAGGTAATATGTAGGCAACTTACCAGTGAGTGACAGATAGTCACAAGGTGGAAACTCAGTCTTGTTCAACCAACCCTTGAGCTTTGCCATGTGTTCATTCTTAATCTTTTCCTCCAGTCCTGCTTCCTCTGCTCCATCTTCTACATGCAAGCCTTGGTCCTCAAATTCTTGAGCAGCCTCAAGCTCCAAACTATCTGCCTTTGTTGCCAATACTATGACAGGAACTGTGGAGACACTAAAATTATACAAACACGAAATATATGGATATGTACACACCATGCCCTGTATCACACTCATCAAAAAACTTCCTTTCAGCAGCTGTAACCATTCTGTGGCTGTCAGTCAATGGAATGCAAAACCTTCATTTCATAATCAACCAAATGGTGTCACTGTCAGTACACTCAAGGTTGCCAGCTGCAGCATGCTTACCAGATAGCATGGATTCTCTTGTCTAGTTTGGTTGTTTTGGCACGTTCTATCACAAAATTCTTCATCTGAACAAATTGTTCTGGACTTCCAGCTTCAAATCCACAAGAATCGTGGAATACAAAGCGTGGGTTACTCGGAAACACCAGCTCAATACCAATGTCATGGTAGCCACGCTGGATACATTGAACATATATGTTGCATAACATTTGTGAGACAACCTACCGCTATTGAACCCCGCACTACACCAGCATCCACCTAAACATAGTCCAACATGTCATTAACCTCAAAAAATCCGATGCAACATACATACCTGCTGTCCTTCTCCATTGAAAATTTCTGGCTGATCGGTAGTACTACAAATCCTCTGCAAGATTGTCGTTTTACCAGCATTTGCTCTGCCCATGACAAGAACACGAAAACGACTGATGCGATCTACATGCTCGTCAGCCGTCGCAGGATCCAGTGACACTGGTCGTTAACGTCGTTAGGCTTGTCCCATCTATCACAAGTAAAACACTCACCTGGGGGTAACTCTTCAGTGCGCGCAAGAACGGAATCACCTAATGGAGAATTAGACAGCAACTCCACTCAGTACGAGAATATGAATATCGGCATTGGATGCGGGCGTACTTGGCTGAGGAGATTCCATGGGAGCAAGAACTCGTGGAACGAGTGCGTTGGCGCTTGGTGAAAGTGGCTGCCGTACACGCCACAGTGTATCGAAAAGCCTAGGAGCCATAAACGATGCAAGGATGACCGAGGTTCTTGGTGTGTCGTAGGAGACAGTACGCTATGCTATGAGATGGAGGCGGACGAGTGGAAAGGGCGTGGAGCTGCGGACTCTTTGATCGATATGAAGGCGCCTGAGGCCTGGCACAGCGCTACGCCACTCTGTTCCCAAATTGTACCAGTTTTTCTTCTGGCACAAAAAGTATACGTTCTGGCTTTTGTGTTGAAAGTAACCCTATTATTACATCAGTGGTCGAATTGTACAAACTGGAAGAACCGGTCGTGTTAAAGTTCGACATCGAAGGAATTAGTATGTGTTTTTAGAGCTTAAAGTAAAGCTAGATCTTTAGCGGGAGCAATGCAACGAAATGCATCGGATCGGTGTATCCGTTATGCGCAAGAGGATAGGAGAATGGGAGGGCTATGCGGCACAGGATCATACCACGCCAAGCAAGCAATGCCAATCTCGATAAAACTTCTCCACTTCTACGGGGACATGCGCTCGTCTGAATCAGCCTTTGGATCAATAAAGCTGTACAGAAGGAACAGCGCCTTTTTAGACGTTCGCGTCCGCGAGATATGGGTGCGGGAGGGGTAGCTGGGGAATAGGTGAAGGTACAGCAACATTACCCATGGAAGGCCGAAGCGCCCAGAAGCAACGCACTGTTCAAGTACTGACGCAGAAGGCTTGATAACTAATGTCGACTCGGGTAAGGCAGGGACGAAAATTGTACAGGCGAGAGCGACCGTCATTTCCAGGGGGCGTGGATCAACATTTGGTCGAGACCGTTGTCGGTTGCTGGCGAAGAGGGGTTGGAAACGCACTGCCGCTGCCCACTTCCCTCGTCCTCGGCGTTCCCCACTAAACCCATATTCTCAATGCACATGATCGGTGCAAGTCGCATTTTCCTCGTCACCATGATGAGCGACGATCACATCTTGTGGCGTACCCTCGCCCTCAGCCTCCTTTGTCCTTGTCATCGTTCATGCTCATGAAGTCGCTCTTCCTGCGTCCATCGCATGCCTCCGCGATGGCAATCCTCCCCTATCTTCCAGACAGGCTAACGCATCCATTTTACTCCGAATCCTGGCCGACGAGGTGAAGAGGCACAACGCCGGTGATGCACCTGGCCTCGGATCGTGTCACGATGAACGAGGAAAGAAAAGAGGTAGGAATACAGATGCAATTGTGAACTCTTTATTTGTACCGGTCGAGGATGTGATGAGCTTGGAGGTGCTGCCCTCGCCCCCTTTTGTAATATGTACCGCCGATGAGGAGGGATGCAAGGGTAAGGGCGAGGAAGCTGCGAATTAGGGTCTGGAAGCGACGCGGGCGTCACCGGCTTGAAGGGAGATGGTATGTTTCACAATGATTCTCGCGAAAGTCGCCGGAACACGAAGTATGACACAGGGCAACGCAGGGCTGCCGGTGAATACGTTATGCTTCTCAGGCCGCCGTCTGCCACGAAGTACAAGGCTCAAGTATGTCGGTAAGAGTATGCAACACGAGTCAAGAAGAACTGGTCTATAGGGATAACGTGGAAATTTCCGCCTGCGACAGACATTAATCGAGTCTGTCAACTATGCTGTGCCTGAAGTCAAGAGCTTCACACCTCCCAAAACGACACTTGGTTTTTCTTCCCTGCTCCCCAAACCCCATCAACGTGACGTGGTACACCCTCCGGAGTGCACTTCTCTACATCTCTGATCTCCTCTTGCACTCATTGATCGATCTTTCGTCAACAGAAGCAAAGGGAAGAAATCGTCGACGAGGTTACACGCCGTCGCCAACGAAGCAGCAATCACACGCACATTCTCGTCTTCCTTCTTGAACACCTGATGCGGCGCCACCAAGCTGACCCTGCTATCGGGCTCGTCGACTCCACAACGGTCACTGTCTTCTCGGATGTAATCGATTTAGCAAGAAATGCTAAACTGGCTAGTACGCCCCTAGCCCGCTGCATCGAGGCAAAAATCTTTTTTCGTTCTTGACAAGTGAATCTGTACAGAAAACGGGCCATCAGAACACGCTAGGCGGTACGAGAGCTACTCACATAGCGCATAGCATGCTTTGATTTGGCTTTGCGGCTGCTCGGACGTCGAGGAAATGGTGAGGTTGACAACGTGGAGAGAGGTTAGGACTGCTGTTTGGTCTGAATGACCTGGAGGGTGGATGCCTTGAGCACGGATGATGTGAGTAGCACTAAATGACCTAGTGTGAATGCATGAACATGCATACACGCAGTAAACTGACCATCATGAAGCCGCCAGCTGTACGCTCGTTACCCGGCTCTTGACATGTGCCAAAACAAGTTTAAGAGCAGGAACGGGAGCTTCGAGCATCGTGAAGTTAAAACACAACCATAGGAGCAGGCGCCAAACGTACCTTCCAACAGTGTCTTGGCCAAGGTGTTTGCCACGGAAGGATTTTCCATCACCGGTGCTCCCACAGAAGACAAAGCGGCTTCTTGTGTCTGTATCCCGGTTACACGGCAGCCTGACACATGTTTTCCTTGCAACCCTTTTTATTGGATCATAGCGATAAGGTGACGAAGGACCCAAGTTCCGTGTCTACCAGGTAGCCTGGTTGATGACATGATGTTTCTCCCATCCTCTTCGATTTTTTTAATTTTTTTTGGCGTTCTTGGGGCGGGAACCATTCGATGATGGCGGTGCGGTGGGTGTCAGTGCGGACTGCTGCACCGATAAGTTGAGCAATGGAGAGGGATGTTTATAGAGAGGAATCTTCGAGTAGGGGGAGGTAAACGTCAAGACATTCATACTGATCCATGGTGCCAGTTTTCCATCAGCGGTCGCACTCGACCAGTGCATATAGGCGAACAACCTACTTCGAAGAGAAAGCTGAGTGCGACCTTGGCTTCCGCGCGATGTTCTGATGTATACATGCCCATAGGTCCCTGTGAAGGACCCACGACATCGGCCATCGAGCTCGCAAGCACACGTAGGCCGCCTGAAAGTGCCGCCTTCAATTGAGGTGTGCCTAACGCATGCGGACTCGTCGAGTGCACGAACGACCTCTTGGTGGGCGTTGGCACGGAGTAGACCGGATAGCGCTGTTTCCGAACCTGTCGAACACGAAAGTGGGTATGAGCCTCAGAAGTTCTGTAGGTACAGGATGGATGTACCGTATGCCAAGGATGAAATGATGTGGACAGCTTCGATGCGGATGTCATCTTAGCGAGCCCTGAGCTTTCGCAAGTGCTTGGTGCTATGGGATGGTTAAGACAACTGGCGAGTCTGCGGGTGTATTAGCATTTCAGCCAACAAATCTTGCAATGTATCGATACAGATGGATGAATGCAGAGTCTCTGGCAAGCGATAACTTTGCAGACGGGTTCCCGATGACGGCGTTCTTGAGCTGCTTGAGTCAGTGTCACAGCAAGGTCCCTTGTACATCGACAACAGTACTGGTCTTGTTGGAATTTACTAATGACGAAAATCCGTTCCCGAAGATCTGACAGTTGTATTGCAATAAAAGGGTTATGTTGAGCTGCATTTCATGTTTAACGGACTGCACTGTGTAACACTGGGAAAAAACATGGCCTACGCGCGAGACCACGCAAAGTTCTCTTCCACAGCGAGATCTTCGACTTTCTGCATATCTCTCCACGCCTCGTTCTTTCCGCTATATGCAAGACAGAGATGGCCCATGCACTGGACACTGAAGAGATGCTTCGTCTCACAACGCGAGCCCTCGACCTGGCCTTCGCAAACGATGTGGAGGCCGCTCTCAACGTCTTTGCCACGCGAGGGGCTGGGGAACTCACCGTTTACCCTTATGGAACGCGGTGTATGTGCACTCCTGAAAGTTGTATTGTCAATGGATGTTCGTCTAGCATGTCCCCCTGACCGATGCGAACTCGGACTCACCCCCCAGTGAAGCCCGAACTCGTGGAGTACTTACTTGACCCTCGCTGAACAAAGCGCCAGGAAACACATGAAACTTGCCAAATCATTTGCCCCGAGCCATCGTTTCCAACCGGGCATCGAATGGGAAATCCTCCACAACGGCATCATCATTTTCCTCGGGCTGGTTCACGCACTCTCGTACGTGGTATTTTTTTCACTCACGCCCGTCCAGCAGGCAAGTTCACTGATGTACTTGTTCACTGCACACAGCCAATCGTACAAAGGGTACTTACAGTGTTTGTCAGTCTCCGTTCTTTGCCCCCGCACCACACGGCTCACACTGAAATCCGTCTAGGTATGAGATCAACAGGCAAGCCCTTCTTACCTTGCTTGTCTTCCCTCCCTCTTATTCTTGCACACTGCCTTTCTTTTAGCGCACGCTCAAAGTTCAAAAAGCAAGTCTTTCCGACTTGGTCGATCTCCGTAAGATGCTTACCGGGCCACTAGGTGGTTCAAAATGCTATACCCCACCGAGCTAGATGGATATGCGACACCAAGCCAACCAACACCTGCAGCATCTCGCCAGCCATCAGAGACCCGTTTACAATATGCTGAGGCGACCCCTGCTATCCCCGTTCGGACGTCCAGATTATTCGCTCGGTGGTCAGGACTCGGTGCACTGACTACTCCCACGCCCGTCCTCGGTACCGTCACCAATCCTGCTAACGGACCTGTTGAAGAATTCATATTGCCAGGGGTAGCGTTTGGTGGGTATCTCCTTGTTTGTTTTAGATTCCTCTTTCTCTAAGGAATCTCCCATTCTTTCTCAGGGTACGGATTGTTCAATCTAGCCTTGTCTTCACTGCCTGCGCAGATAAGGTACGTATTTGTGTTGAGGCAACTTTGGCGGGCGCTGAGTAGATCGGATGAATTGGACCAATGACCCACTAACTCTTCTGGCTGTGGCATATACATAGGAACCTGGCCAGATTTTTTGGGTATAACTATGACAGGGAATTGGGACTCAACGCGCTTGCAGTGTCTGCTGCACGCACAGACGTGCACGCCATGTTTGCAGGGTCAGTACCTCTCTTCAGTTTGCCTCCATTGGAGCGTATGTGGTTTAGGTGTCACTGAAAGCACGGAAAACTGACTCTGGTTATGAGACGATGGTTCTTATAAGTCATTTGCATTTGGATTGACTGCGTGCATATGTTAGGTTGCTGTTGACGACATACTACGGTAGCCTATTGCTCGCGTCCGGATATCATGCAGATGAGCAGCACGTCACGGATCAATGCAGGGGCATCGTAAGGAGGTATGTATCTCTTTTAGGTATGTGTCGTTCAGCTGGTAGTCTGATCGTGTTATGCCAGGCTATTGCATCGACATCCTAAGCTGTCTTTGTGCATGCTGAATAAAGTTAGTCAGCGATCTCATGGATATCGTTTGTTTTCATCATAGGACACACCATCATAGGCCAGAATCCAACGCATATCTGGTGATTCGGAGGGAGCTATTGTTACACTTCAGGAGGGTCGACAACAAAGATCATTGCCGCAAGTCGACGAACTGGTATGTGTCGCACTGCTTCTTACTGAGTGAATCCGTCCAAGACTGACGCACCCCGTGTGTCGTAGGTGGCGAATGGTTGGTCATTGAGCTAGCATAGACGCTGTTTCAGTGCAGAAGATATGAAGAGAGTGCGCAAGTGTTTATGGATGTCTCAAAGATGAATAGTTGGTGGGTTGGGCTGCTTATACCCCCCTTAAGCACAAGTTTGACTCCACTTAGTGGACTTCAGGAATCGCGCGACGTATCACTTCCTTGCCGCTGGTGTGTCCCATTTGACTGTATGTTAAGTAGGAGCAACCTCTGTCAGGGTGCTATGTGTCCGTCAGACAATTGGATGAGGCTCAGAGACTGTTCGATAAACTCCCGGCAGTTTTAGATAAACGAAGAGGTAGGGACATGCCCACAGAAGTGCTTATCAAGAAGAAGCGTACGTTATCCAATATGCCTTTTAGCCAGATCCTAATCATGCTCGTAGTTGAGTTTTACAAGAAGAAACATGGCCGTCGGAGAGGAGACCCCAAGCGATTCGCGGAATCTGTGAAGATTAGGCCCTGTAGAAGGTGGGGCCGATATGCTGTGTATTGCATGTAAGTGGACCTGCTGACCGAGTTACCTCTCTGTAGAACTCGCTGTCGGTTCGTAATGGCGATTGAAATATCGAATAGGTGACTAACTCTATTTTCTATGTAGCGAAGAACACATATGCGCATGCCGATAAGGAAACGGCTTTGGCGCATATCGTGGAGTTGACTGCACTCACACCTCCTGTGGACATATAGACTGAGCATATGGGGTCTTCATCGAGTATGCGACAGCCTGGGGGCCAAGTACGTCTTCGTACACAGATGCTCGAGTTTCCAGCCACTCTCTGCGAGCTTGAACAGGGGGAAGTCCTTCTCCATATGTGCCCATATGAATTGGAGTGCAGTTGTGCTCGCTCTACCCCAGGTATCCAGTGCTATTTTGTGCTGGGTAAGTTTGATCCACCCTGCATGTAGGGCTCTTTGAATCTTGGTTAGCATTTCTGATGATGGAACATTGCCATTTTTGTCCTTGATATATGCATATAGTCCACAGTTGCTCCCTCCAGCCTCTGGGGAGTCCAACCAGTCTTCATAATCTTTTCTTGTCCAGAACTGCACCTTTGGGTGTGTGTTGCACATTGGGGGGTTCTCACCTGTGGTCATCAGAAGCTGTAAAGGTGAGTTACTCCTGAGTAGACTTGGATTGCATGTTCCCAAATTGACTATGTTTGTGAGTTTGTCAAAGAGGTTCCTGTGTAATGATTAGCAATAGACAGTCTATAAACTAATATCTTACTTGATTGTGTTGCATTCCATGGTTACCTTGACCAAATGCCATTCCAGCACATTGCAACAATCTTGTAGAAATGTGATGCACAACTCCTGCTGCATATATGCACCCTAAAACATAGTAAGCACCTAGTTTTAATTCACCATACTTATGTTCACTTGATTAATTGGACTCTGGGGCAAATATGGTGTAAATGGCTTTTGTTGAGGGGGTAGGACACTGGGACCATTATGCTGCAAAGAAGAGAATATTGAATTATCATCAATGCAGTTGCCTGTTGGGGCTGAGAATGGGTCACCAGACTGAGGTGAGAATGATGAGCTGTTGTTGAAGCTGAAGCACAAGTCATTGGCATTGAGGGAGTACATGGTAATATAGAGACAGGGGAGGATGCAACTCAGAATATTTGGCTAAGGTTATTTTCCCATACCTTATTAACTGCTACTGAGTGCCTTGTAACCTTAAACATAACAAAATGTCACCACCAACTAATTTGACATTTGCTCCCACTCCAACTATTACAATGGTTGGTAATGTCATCATCATTGATGTCAAAGGTCTTTCTTCTGACTGGGATGTGTATACCTTTTCATTGGACATGCCTTCTCCTGGAACTAAAGTGAGTTTTCTTCCCAATCTGCTTTTTGACTTTGCTAATCTCATTGAACACATTAGAGAATCATGTTGTGCATCAAACACCCTGAATTCCACAAATACAACCATCCTCATGTCAAGGAACCCTACACACAACTCATGCTGCTTGAGAACATCAAGGATCCCATCAAGTTGGAGGGGGCCAGCCAGGACCTTACCACTTCGAAGCTCAAAGAACCCAAGCATGAGGCCAACCAGGCCATTACTCCCAAGCTCGAAGAATCCAGCAAGCATCATGTCAGGTTGGAGGATTCTGATTGTGACACAAGTTTGTAAGTTGATTATTCGAAATCTAGTCAAATATATTGATTGAGGCAGGCAGTCCACTACCATAGCTCTGTTGCCCTGCACTGTCCTCACCTGGGACAATGGAAATTCCCAGGCTGAGGAGGGCACACCGTCCTGACCTTGGAAGTACTATGTTTGTTTGTTCAATCCCTCCATTCTCCCCATCAAAATCATGTGTAGGAGGGAAGCAATGGAAAGGTATGAGGATAGGCCTGAGAGAGAGGGGAAGTGCCATAGGCTAGCCTGAGCCTTATGATACCTACAATTTGTTTTGTCATACTTGTATGTTCTTGCTGTCAATACTCTCAATATCTGTATGCTATCATGAAAAGGTTGAGTTCAAATGACAGACATGCATATTGTGAAACAATATAATTCAAGATCATGCTTTACCCACTACTCAACATCCTCATGCACATCATCTTCATCATCTCTTTTGACATACACACTATATGGAACCCCCCAGTCAGATACATCAAATCCAGGCCTTTCCATCATACTGTACAATACACCAGCTCTTCAGTGCCCAAGGGCAAGACCATTTGCCATGGGATTATTGCAATGATGCTGCTGATTTGTTTGACATGAACTACTGATATAGTGTTGAGCAGTCAGGCAGCTAAAAGAACATGATTTGAGAGTTTCAGCAAGTCTTCATCAGGCACAGAATACAAGCAAATGATCACAACATCAGTGAAAGTCCAGTTGCCATTGCAGCTTGAACTGGTAGCCTAGTAAAATATTGGACTTCAGCACAGCAGGTGATACCATCACAAAGACACTACATGAAGAGCTGGTCAGCATTGTGATCAGGTTTGGTAGGATGATGTACTTACCTTTATATTGCATGAGACATGAAGTTGCTCCAGAGGTTGAAGACTCTCTCCAAGCTGAGCACACAACCTGGCCATTTGGAAATGAAGTTGGGCCCACTTCTTGATACATGGCAAAGGTTGTCTGGGCCCAAGAAATAGCATGATGGCAGCACCTTCATCACCGTGGGGAAGGATTGAGGTCTTGGAATGTTTACAAAACAGAGCAAAGCCATCATGAAGATCAAGGGAGCCATAAGGTAGTCCTTTGACTGAGTCATTGAGCTCAGGTATGATGGAGATGAGTGAGTTAACTTGACATTGGTGAATGCCCTTGCAAGAGAGATTTGCATATGGCTTGGAGGGCTGTCAAATCTGTTCACCAAGATTCCTGATGGTCTGCTCCATGGTCCATTGCACATAACAGAAGTATGGCAGATTGTGTGAGAGTTTCAATGTCAATGATAGGATGTGTCCTCCACTCATACTGAATGTCAGCAAATGCCACCATTTGATCTAACCCAGGAGCTGGTAATTCCTGTGCTGGAGATTAGAATGTGTAAGTTTATAGTTGCCTGAGGTTACTTACTTTGTCTACATGTGGATCAACAGGTGTTGCAGGTCCATCCAATCCAGGAGCTGGTAACTCCTGCACTGGAGATTAGAACATGTAAGTTTATAGTAACCTGAGGTTACTTACTTTGTCTGCACATGGATCAACAGGTGTTGCAGGTCCATCCAATCCAGGAACTGGTAATTCCTACACTGGAAATTAGACCATGTAAGTTTACAGTTGCCTGAGGTTACTTACTTCCTCTGCACCTGCACATGGATCAACAGGTGTTGTAGGTCCATCTAACTCGGGAGCTGCTGATTCCTATGGTTGATCTCAAAGTGAGTATTTTACAGAATAAAAGATAGATTGACTTACATTTTCCTGAGTGTGTGCACACTTACAATGTCCATTATCCATAGTCTCGAGTTGCCTTTTTGCCATTGCTTGGATAACAGCTGTGCAATGAGCATGCAAGCCATGGCATGTGTGGGGTTTGACTTGGGATGATCGAAGGCATTCTTTTTCTTCCTTGGTCCCAGCCTCAGCAAAATGGTGGTACAAAGGCACCTTCAATACTGGGTGAGGCTCGCAAAAATTGTACCTGCTGCAGATACATATGTATGGAGTCATTGTCACAGGCATTGAGGAGACTGGAACCGTGTGAAACGCTGTGTACGTCCAGTGCGTAGTGTAAAAGATACATCCAACATACCTATTGCAACACACAACATAGCCCAAAAAGGAAGGAGTAATATTGATTATCGACCATGTCATATTTGTCGCGTTACTTTCACATCCTGTCACCTCACCTCACACCCCGCCATAGCCAGTTTTCACTGGGCCTGACACTCGATAATCAAGCGCTGCGCTGCGCCACTCTGATCCCGAATTGCAACCAGCTTTTCTTCTGGTGCGAAAAGTATATGTTCTGCTTTTTATGTCCAACTAACACTATTATCACATCGGTGGTCGTGTTGTGCAAACAGAAAGAACCGGTCACATTAAAGCTCGGCATCGAAGCAAGGTACTAATCGAATGCAGGGCGTTACAAGTGGTGAATAGCGAAGGTATTGGTTTGCGTTTTTGGAACCTCGCCTTCAGCCTCCCTTGTCCTTAGTCGCTCTTCCTGCGCCCATCACTAGCCTCCGCAATGACGATTTCCCCTATCTTCCAGATAAACTAACGCATCCATTTGCTCCGTATCCTGGCCGACGAGGTGAAGAGGCACGATACTGATGATGGACGCTCATATATGTGGCCAGAAAATGTCTCTCAATGAACTGAGAAAAGAAAAGAGGTGGAAATACATATGGGATTGTGAGCACTTTGGTTGTACTGGTCGAGGATGCGATGAGCTTGGAGGTGCTGCCCTCGCCCCCTTTTGTAATATGTATCGCCGAGGGGAGGGACACAAGGGCAAGGGAGAAGGTGGCTACAACTTTGCAGTCAGTAGATTATCGGGTGGTACAGTCACACCTACCGGCAACCAAGTTGCGAACTAGGGTCTGGAAGCGACGTCGATGTCACTGGCTTCGAGGGAGACGGTATGTTTCACAATGACTCTCGCGAAAGTCGCCGGAACACAAAGTGTGACACAGGGCAACGCAATTAGGGCTGCCGGTAAATACATTATGCTTCTCAGGCCGCCGCCTGCCACAAAGTGCAAGGCTCAAGCATGTCAGCAAGAGTACTGTAACACGAGTCAAGAAGAACTGGTCTATTGGGATAACGTGGAAAATTTCCCCCTGCGACAGACATACAAATCGGGTCTGTCAACTATGCTGTGCCTGAAGTCAAGAGCTTCGCACCTCCCCAAACGACACTTCCATTTTCTTCCCTGCTTCCCAACCCCCATCAATGTGACGTGGTACACCCTCCGGACTACGCTTCTCTACCTCTCCGATCTCCTCTCGAACTCGTTGAGCGACCTTGCGTCAACAGACGCAAAGGGAAGAAATCGTCGACGAGGTTACATGCCGTCGCCGACGAAGCAGCAATCACATGCACATCCTCGTCTTCCTTGAACACCTGATGTGACTGTCACCTAGCTGACCCTGCTATCGGGCGCGTCGACTACCCAACCGTCATTGTCTTCTCGGATGTGATCGATTTGGCAAGAGATGCTAAACTGACTAGAACGCCCTGGCCAGCTGCTTCGACGCAAGAATCTATTTCATCCCTGACAAGTGGATTTGTATGGAAACGGGCCATCAGAACACGCCCGGCAGTGCGAGAACTACTCACTCAGCGTATAGCATGCTTTGACTTGGCTTTGCGGCTGCTCGGACGTCGAGGAAATGATGAGGTTGACAACGTAGACAGAGGTTACGACTGCTGTGTGGTCCAAATGTCCTGGGTGGTGGTTGCCTTGAGCACGGATAATATGAGTAGCACTATATGATCTAGTGTGAATGCATGGACATACAGACACGCAGTAAACTGATCATCACGAAGCCGCTAGTTGTACGCTCGTCACCCGACTCTTGGCATGTGCCAAAACGAGTTTAAGAGCAGGAACAGGAGCTTCGAGCGTCTTGAAGTTAAAATATGACCATAGGAGTAGACGCCAAACATACCTTCCAACAATGTTTTGGGCAAGGTCTTTGCCACGGAAGGATTGTCCATCGTTGGTCCTCCCACAGAAGACAAAGCGGCCTCCTGTGTCTGTATCCCGGTTACACGACGACCTGACATATGCTTACCTTGCTATCCTTTTTTTTGGATCATAGCGATAAGGTGACGAGGGACCTAAGTTCCGTGTTTACCACGCAGCCTGGTAGACGACGTCATGTTTCTCCCATCCTCTTCGATTTTTCATTTCTTTTTGGCGTTCTTGGGACGGGAACCATTCGATGACGGCGGTGTGGGTGCGGACTGCTGCACCGATAAGTTGAGCAATGGAGAGGGATGTTTGCAGAGAGGAATCTTTGAGTAGGGGGAGGTAGATGTGTCCAAGATGACATATTTGAGGTATCTCACCCATTAAAATAAGCATATCGTCCAATTAGATTACTTAAGTGGGAGTATCAGGAGAGTGTACTCTTACTTGCCCCCGAGTGCTCTCTCTGAGGTAGGTCGACATCAGATTGAGCATGCTAAGACTAGGTAGGGGCTGCCTATGATACGATTGTATATCAATTTTACACTTCATCCCTCGGCGTCTAGGCTGTGTCAAGTCGGGAATGAACCAAAAGTGAAAAGCGTTTGCCGCTGTTTCCCTTTCCCCTTCTTGCCCTTTCCCCCTTCGCCTTCTTTGCCAAGTCCAAACGTTGACCTTGGGGTAATCTCTGTGACGCTGTTACCATTATTATTTGGTGTCGAATCGGGCGCGGCTGCTCCCCACGCTGAACCGGATGGCAACGGGTCGCCAATAATATTCCTCAGCGAAGGATTCCCGGCCAACGGAGGTCTGGGGCGTGTATTTGTGGATGACGGAAGCTCTGGAAACGCGCCGAGTGAATATGATGGAGGTGGTTTCCGACGTCCGGCAGATGCCCCCGGTGTTGTAGATGGCGATACGGGTAGGGAGTGGTAGGTCGCCCCCGACGCAGAGGTAGACGCTCTCTGCGGTTGGGGCTGCGGAGCTACAGAAGCCGTAGATGGACGAGGTAACGCCGGAAATCGTTCAGCCACTGCTCTGGACGGAAGGGGTGAGTTCATGCGGGGAGCTGAAGAACTAGCTGCCTGCGCTACACGGTCCCAGACCTGTCGAGAAGTCTGTCGGGAGGAGCGCGACGTAGCCTTTTTGGCGCTGATGACTCTTCCGCTGGCAACGCCTGCGTAAGCGGTGCCCACAGAGGTGGGCACCAATTCAGGGAAATGTTGGCGTTGCTGGCTTCGTTTGAGATTATGACTTGCATGTCAAGTAGATAAGCCTCACCTCGATTTTGAAGCCATTCCATGACGCTAACAAATCAGATTTTTTACTTTCTTCGTCTAACAAATCGACGATCCCATTGACAATGCTTGCCGTGCCGTCCAAATCATTACCGAGTATGTTCCAAACGGTAGATATGAGATCTCGGGCGCTCGATTCGTTTACGCGGTAGCCACGTATCGCAGCCTTCAGAGCAGGAATTGCACCTGCAGGATTCGGCGCGACAGCTTGGACTCGCGACAGGAATGAAGCGTACCGTCTGAGGGAGATGTAAAGGATCCACAGATGTAATTGTAAGAGACTTACTCAGTCACCTCGGAAGCAGCATCCTCAGGTGCAGTCGACGGACCTGGCACAAATGGACCGGGTGCGTTCAATAGGAACGGTACTCCGCCAGTCGACTCAGCTGCACTGCCACCAGTAAGACGCCCACCAAAAGCCCCTCGACGACCACCTAATGCACGTGGGGATGATTGGTTCGACTCAGGTGGAGGCTCCCGATCGCGTTCTCGAGTGGCACGGTTCCCTCTTTCGCCTCTGATGTCCTCAAATGCGAATTCTGCTTGCACCCGCCGAATATCTCTCCTGTCACGAGAACTCATCTCAGCGTCGTGCACCTCCACTTGATGGGCCTTCAGATCCAGCACGGAGCCGAAGACGACAAACTTCTGCGCTTGGCACATCGGACTTGGACATGCGAAATGCGCTTGGGCAAAGTGTTGCTCCTAAACTCTGTAGTGAAGACCTTATCTCAACGGACGAAGCCGTATTCACGCACTAGGCATTCGTAGTTGTGAAAACTGCGCGAAACAGGAGTCTGTCAGGGATGATAAAGTGAGGAGAATTGATACTCACTACTGATCTCGGATCTCATTGCGCTTGCATATGAAACACTCTTCGTGTCGCTCACGCATGTGGACGTACAGTTCGTCATCGCTAAAGAAGCACTCTCGACAGAACTCGCATAAAGGATGAATTCCACCTTCTACAGGTTCCTTTGGTTGTTGTTGCTTATGAGATCTGTGCAACTTCGAGGGGAGGTGGAAAGGCAAAATGTTCGGTGGATACAGGGTATGCTCGTGGGCAAAAACTTTCTTGAAGCGCAAGCATAAGTCACTGGTGCATTCGCATGAGACCGTCAGACGGCGGTAACGTTGTGACATGCTCACCATAACATTTTATCGTGCGTTGCACGTACGTGGATTTTTAGATCTCCCCAACCAGTCCCAGTGTAATCGCAATCGCGGTCCGGACAATTGTAGCGAAGAAGAACCAATGTTTCTTCCATCATATCCACGGTCTCGAAGCGTATAGAGAGTTTGGAATCCTTATGCGGGATATCATTGGGTGTATACGAGGAAAACAATGCGTGCGGAGAAGAGGTGAATATGACCGTGACTTGTTGCTCCTATTGTAAATGTTCGACATTCAGCTCGACGAACACAACATAAGCCTGCATTTCAGACCTTGCAAAATGTGCAGTCGAGTCTCTTGTAAAGCGCTCTAAGTCGTAGCGCACAAACATGACATGTACGATGGTTGCATGCGGAGACGGAGTAGTACTTGACGGGCTCTGCACAGATAAAACAGACGGCTGCGTCGGACACCTCTGCCTGACTAGCTTCGTGCGTGTCCTTGGTAACTTCTGCGGAATTCGATGACATACTCTCGTCCACAGTAGTGTTGGGAGTCGCTACGGGTTTATCTTGTCGGCTCTGCGACGCCTTGGACCCCCTCCGCCCACCACGTCCCCGGTTGCTTCGCTTTCCAGGCTGCTGGGTTTGGGTGTGAGCAACGGTTGGAGGGGACATCCTTGAGTTCACTTGGTAAAGGGGTTGGCGGATTGAAGAATGTTGTGGTGCTGGAAAACGTTGAATGTGCGTTTTCATATCATCATTGCGGTCACCGTACCGCCCGCACGTGACTCACATGTTTCGCGATATCCGGTATGCTGTCTAACATATGTAGTAGCTAACAGTGACTAATAAGGGACTAGGACGTCCAGACAAGATGCCCTACAGAATTTCACTCTACATCGTTCTGATCATTCAGTACGTCACCTTCCACAGGGGACCCTCCCCCACCCTCACTTCCGAGATCTCCATCTCTTCCTCTGTCCCCCCTTACATCTCTCAGATTCAACATCGGACCTGTTTGCATCACTGCAGACGCTGTGCGAGCAGAAAGTGGGGACGACGACGCAAAACGAGTCATCGTTGGAGTAGTTTTCTTACTTTTGGACGCAGGGGGCGACACCCCTATCCCACTTATCCTGACGCCGACGCTCGTAGTGACCGAGGCCGACGACGACCTCGCACCGAGTCCGAGCCCATATATCGATGACATCGTACGAGGACGCACAATGCCCGAAGGTGGGGGACCGCCTAAACCGAGTCCGTCATAATTCGGCATATGGGTAGCCATAGGTATAGGATGGTTTGGACGTGGCATCGGGATTCTGAAGTCCAATCCCGGCAAAAGAAAATCTTTCGTCTCTGATAGCGTCTCGCGCAGCTGTTTTAACGAACTGGCATGTCGTAGACGAGGGGAGGTCATGACAGATCCAAACGTCGGAGCGTGCTGGTTTGAACTGGACGGACTTGGAGATGCACCTAGTAAACTAGCGGTCCAAGAACCCCATCCCCCTTTGGCATTATCTTCAGCTCCATGTGTAGACTCGTGGGTATCTGTAAAAGATGGAACGTCGTGCACGGCACGTTTAAGAATCGCGATATCATGTTGTACATCCTCCAACTTCCTTCCGAACCTCTCCACTGCTTTCCGAACTGCATGGTCCGTCCCATCCACGAACCTCCTTGCATTCGTCTCCATCTCACCACGTTCGTCGAGGTCCGTCAATGCGCCTGAGATGGATAACACCGTCTCGAAACCTTTTGCAATAAGCTGTTCATCAGCGATTTGGATTTCTAATTCGACACGTGCGTCTTCCGTGTAGTCATCTATGCGGGCGAGTGCGGTGAGTAGACGTCCATGGGTTTGTCGGGATGGTGAAGAGGAGGAAGGTGAAGAGGAGGTGAGTGTGCGTTTGAGATCTTTGAGAGCCAAAGAACAGTCACGAAAGGCGTGCTGGAGGGTATCATATCTATGTTTCGCTTCGTCTAAGGAGCGAAGGAGGGAGGTGATAGCGTCTGACGGAGGCGGGGATGTGTCGATTGGGGATTCGAGAGTTCGGGGTACTTGGAGAGGGTTTTCCAGTGGTGTGGGGTCCTCATGTTGAGAACTGGCAGTTAGAGGGTCTTCAGTCGGTTTGTTTGAAGCCGATGTAGGCGTCAAAGGGACGTCTACGCATTCCGTTGATAGGGGCGTTGTACGTAAGGCATTGCGGCCGTTGGCGGGCAAGGTACGCGACACGGGCTGGAGCTCGAGCACAGATACGGTTGGTGATTTCGCCTGCTTCGGAGAGGGCAGCTGATCTGCGGCGAACAAAGATGAGGACACCAGACATTGGTCATCCTGTGCGATAGATTCCGCCAGCTTGAGAGCATCGGGTATACTTAGAGGGGTATCGTCCGCTGTACCACGGTAAACATTCACGGCTAAAGCGCGACAAAACTGGCTTACATGCCACCTTGAACGGATCATCGTTCGCAATCTCCTTCGAGGTGCGTACTACAGGTACTGGGCTATCCTGTAACGAAGAGCCTTCCCCCTCAACCCCTGCTTCGCGCACCTCGTTGTCACCCAGTGGCGGAGTATTCGATAGCTTGACCCATGAATGATTACTAATCTCTTCCTCTCCTGTACCAGAACCGAGCGTTCGCAAGGCTTCGATTCTTCTGTTCACTTCGTCTTGAAGTTCGCCTCTGAGAGCCTCTACCGCTTCTTTTGCTGTTATGATATGTGCTAGTGCCCCAGATAAGGCGCTGCCATCCGAGAACTCTAGTTGGTCGTCTAGAGAAGATAAGAGGGATTCCGCGTCGCTGACCGTGCGGTGGAAAGCTTGCTGAACATCGGTGTCGTGCACAACTGCCTGTGGGTTTACGTTGAGAGTATCTGGTTCGGAATTTTGCAGGTCGGGGCGGTGAAAGTACCATTCGTACGATTCTCTCGCTCGTCTAACCCAGCGTCTGAGCGACTCAGCGAAGGTCTCTTCCCTCGCCATCATTGCCAATCTCAGTGCAATTTCGCGCCGTCGACCATACGATTCACGCGCAAAATCTTCGCAAAGTTCGTCAAGAGCATCTTGAAGACGTGTCCGATGTCTTCGTTCGGATGCAAGCAACAACTCGGCTTGAGAAAGTTGGAATTCAAGGGTGGAGATTGTGGCAGCATGACGAGCTTTGAGGACAGTGATTTGGCTTTGCAGAGCATTTGTAGAGGATTGGGAGAATTTCCTAGGGAAAGAAGTGAGCGGTATCGTTGAGCAGGATCTACAGAGGAATAGACGGACATGTAGCGAGTGACCATTTTAGCTGCAGTCTGGTCGTCGAGCTTGAGTTTGTCGAGTTCCACTTGTGCTTGTGCAAGGAGATGGCGGTCGTGCATTGTAGTCTGGCGCTCGGCATCGAGTTCTGTCTCCAGGAAACAGGTATGTCTGCGTAATTCCGTGATTGTGTTTTGCAGGGTATCAGTCTCCTGGGTAAACTCTGCCATAAGTTGCTGTAAGGCAACTTTCTTGCCGTGAAGGCCGTCTGTGGACGGTGTTCCGTTGAGATGGGCCTGGTTGGCGTGCCTCCTACCCTCGAGGGAACGAACGAGGTCAGCGTATTCCTGCACGACAAGGTCGACCATTTTACGCTCTTCCTCTGATGCACGTGCTTTCATCTCTAGTGTCCTCTCTCGAGCCTTTCCCTCTTCTTGTTGGGCGTGTATACGAGACGCGAGCTCGTGTGCTGCCTCAGCCACTTGTCTCGCTTTCGTTAGATCACTACGTGCATGTGTAAGTTCAGTTGTCCGTTCTACGAGCGTGTTGTCCATCAAATCCATTTTCTCCGAGACGCGTCGGAGAGCGAGCGTGAGCTCTTGGACATGTCTCTCCGCGGGATGGGATGTCACCTGTTGTGAATTAGCGCGGAGAAACGCAGCTTCCTGTCGTAATTTTTCGTTCTCTTGCTCGAGGGCGGAGGCATATTCTCGAGCGTGGGTGGTTTCAAGTGTTTGTCGTTGTAATCGGATAGCAGCGGCATGGGCCTCGTGCTGGGAGGGACGTGCGGTGAGTCGGAGTTGACGCAATCTGAGAAGAGCTGTGGGTAGCACGTACCTGGAACCGAGCTGCTGTCTGACGGAGACTGGTCAGTTCCAACACGAGGGGGTGCTCCTCGCTCATGAGTGGGTACTACTACTACGTATGTACACCAGAGCAGCTGGCCTTCGTCCTCGTGGACTGGCCGGACCGAGCTCAGGGTTAGGGTTGATATCGTTTCTGGAAAGCGGCCAAACACGGACACACACTCTGTTACCGAGACTTGCTTTTGCTTTTGCATTGCAAATGACCACCTGCAGACAACTGACCGACCGAATTGACTGACCACTGCCTTTGTTCCCCGCCAGAACCCACAGAGTTACTGCCCATCTAATCATCTTAATCTGTCTTTGGTGGTCAGTACACTCACTCGAGTTCTCGTCTTCTTGTTCATGTTCCTTTTTTTTTGACTGACAAGCCTATCGACAGAACACTGATTAACGAGCTCATCGCTTGGTCACGTTCCTTGAGCCAGTCCTTTCGATTGGTAAGTGTGTGGTTCCGCACTCGTCTCCGGCTTTCCAACCCGGTCTCGCATTCCTAGCACAGTGCTCTCACAAATGGCGACACCGCAACCACCGTATCACCACCCTGGCCCGTCAAATTATCACCAGCACCATCCACCTCCATATGCTTATGGTACTCATAGTCCAGCACCTCCGCCGGGTCACGCTCCGTACCAGTACCAATACCCAATGCCTCCAGTGAACGGGCACGGTCAGCCAATGCATGCTTCCTCTTCGGCCCGTGGCCGCGGGTATCTTCCGCCGAGAGGCGGACAAAATTACCAGAACTACCATCATCGTCCATCCCCTCACCACCATTATCCGTATCCTTCCCATACTCCTCATTACCCGCCACCTCACTCGCATCCACACAACAAGTACCCCCATTCAAATGCACAGTCTGTTCCCTATTCACCCACATATGCCACTCATCCTTCAGCCACTTACCCTCCTGCGTGGCAACCTCAGCAGCCTCTCTCTCCCCTACCGAAACAACTCTCAATGCTCACCCAGCTCTCCTCAGCATTCAACCAGCCGTCTCTGCAGGGTGACTCTGCACTCCCCTCACCCAACGATGAGACTCCAAAACCTGATGCAGACCAACCTGCTGATACCATCACCAAACAGGAAACACCAGAAAAATCAGATATCCAGTTGGAAGCGTCCCAACCACCCTCCGTATCCCCACCGCCGTCCCCGGCTGTGCCACAAGGCGCTATTGCCTCCCCAGTATTGCCGTCGTCCACCCATGCTTCTTCACCCGCTACATTGTCCCCCCTCGTGCCCGTTAAAGAGGCCGAGTATGTCATCTGGTCAAGACGACCTACTGACCCGTCGGGCGCACCTGGCATCATTATTTCTCCACGGGCGCGACCTCCAGATCATATCAGACGAAAAGCTCTAGACCTCCCCTCTCCTCCTTTCCCGGTACTCCCTCGAGAAGCGCTTCAACAACCATCCGTGGAGCCCCAACCCGAAGATGTTGATATGTCATCAACCTCCGTTCCAGAGACCGCTAAACCTGAACCCGTTGATATGTCATCCATTTCCATTACGGAGACCGCTAAACCTGAAACCGTTGATATATCATCAGCCTCTGCCACAGAGACCACGACCGCGGCATCCTCTGCAGTCAACACGTCCGTTCCCACGTCACCTATTTCCACGAACACATCCATCTCACTTGCGATAACCTCACCCCCGACCAAGATGGGGCAGGACTCTCTGTCCGTGCATGTAGCCACTCCGCAAGTCGACTCAGTACCATTGTCTTCCGATCCAGTCCTTGATGCTATCCCCGAACCAACTCTTCCAGCTCCCTCGTCTACTCCTTCTACTCCATCTCAGACCTCAAAACCTCCTACCGGCCCGCGTCCGAGCTTTGCATCTCTCCTCCGTCGAGACAATTTTACGCCGTCCAAGCCGAACGCACTACCAAGATCTTCCGTTGTTGGGATTTCTATCCCCGCGTCTACTCCTTCAGTGACATCCAACACATCTTCCATCTCGCTCAATAAGAAACCAGAGCTATTGTCCCTGTTGATGTCTGGTCCTTCGAACTCACCATTGATGAAGATTTATCCACGAGGACTCGTGAATACTGGGAACATGTGTTTTGCAAATGCTGTGCTGCAGGTGTTGGTGTATTGTCCACCCTTTTGGAGGTTGTTCTACGAATTGGGCAAGGTGATGGACAAGTCACCGGATACGGTTACGGGTGGGGAGCAGAGTCGGACTCCGTTAGTAGACACCACAGTTCGGTTCATTAGGGAGTTTATTCCGAAGCAGAAGAAAGCGACGGCGCCGGAAGGTAAAGGTAAGGCTGTCGATAGGACAGCTTATGGGGAGGAGGAAGATGACGTGATGGAATCATTCATTCCTGCGTATGTTTATGATGCATTGAAAGAGAAGAAGCGGTTTGATCATATGCGGGTGAGTGCTGTTACTCTTATTTTAGGACGCACGCGTTGCTATATCTTTTGCGTTGGTATAGGGCGGACATCAAGAAGACGCAGAAGAGTTTCTAGGATTCTATTTAGACACACTGGAGGAAGAGCTTTTATCTATCACGGCGTCTTTACAGTCCAAGAATGCGAATGATCCGGGATATTCGGAGAGACAACAAAATGGCAGTGCGGCGGAGGATGGACCGTGGCTTGAGGTTGGAAAGAAAAATCGAACGGCGGTTACAAGGACGGTGCGTTCCTCTCCCCTCTGATCAGGGAGAATGACAACAACGCTTTCGCCTGCAACCCAGGTGAACACGACAGAGTCGCCGATTACGAGGATATTCGGTGGAAAGTTTCGTTCGACTTTGCGTGTACCGCACCAAAAAGATTCGATCATCTTCGAGGATTGGAGATCCTTACGACTGGATATTCAGGTGCGTCTCTGTACAGCCCAATCCCAGTTCCAGTCACCAACTCATGTCCTCGTGATTCCACCGGAACACCTCGAGCAGCGCGACCAAGTCCACACCCTCAAAGATGCCCTCTCCTGCATTTCAACGCCACAATCTGTGCAAGTGACATCTGTCACAAAGCCAGGTGCTGTCCTCGATGCGAAGCAAATCGTTCAAATCGAGACGTTACCTCCAATTCTGGTCCTTCATCTGAAACGATTCTTGTACGATGCGAATGCGGGTGGTACTGCGAAAGTGGGGAAGCAGGTGTTGTTTGACGCAGAACTTGAGGTTGGCAGTGGTACGTACATTTTTTTAGTCGTGTTTCACTCTGACATTTGTGTCCCATGTGATTTTTTTCCCCATCAACGGGACGGTGCAGATGTTATGGCGCCCGGACGAAAGATTCAAACAACACGGTACAAGCTTTTCGGAGGTAGGTTTTTAGTCCGCACAGGTGCCGAGTTATCCAACCAATGGCATCATACCCGCAGTCCTCTACCACCACGGTACATCCGCATCGGGGGGGCACTACACCCTTGACGTTCTACATCCCAACATTGCCATGAACCCTACCAAGCCTCGCGAAGGCTGGATCAGGATAGATGATGAACTTGTTTCAGACGTGTCCCCTGAAGATGTATTTGGGACGCACGCGCGGGACGATCGGTGTGCATACTTATTATTTTATCGGAGAGTCGGTGGGGGTGGGGGAGGAGCACGGACGTGACCTGACAAAGGAATTATTGCATTGTCGTCGCACTTGTTTTCTGGAAATTACTATCTCGTTTAATGCTAGATATTCGACTGTATGTACACCAAATGTCGTGTCCTGCACTCTCGAGATATCACTGCCTGTATCGTCGCTCTACCCCTGCTTTCATGCATATATATGCCTGAATTTACAGTGACTGCCGAGAATGGATGGGACCACAGCAGGTTCTTGAAAAGTGGGGACTGCTTATGTTGGGACTGTGAGGGATTGGACCAGTTGTCTGATATGGTTCAGACAGAACTCACAGAACAAGGTTGGTGCACAAGTGAGATTGACCTGTGGGCACCTGACAACTTGGCCTTTGTCGGAAAATCTGTAAAATTATTTCAATGGGTTGCAAGCGATTGCAATGGCTGCAATTAAACTTGTAATTGAAATGTTGTTGTGATATTAAAGTTTTCTATGTAATAATAGTCACAATGGTAATTACGATGACCATTGCAATTGCAATAGCAATACAAATGGCAATACCAAATGTAGTGTCGTTGGGGGGTTGATATTATGAACATAGTATCATCACTCCCTTATTTCGATGTTATTATGATGACGATTACAATAGCTGTGCCATGTAGAAATAGCCCAGACTCTTGGCACTGCCATATTACTGTAATCTGATTCTTAAGGAGACTTTTTGGACTTAGACAAATTTTTGGAAATTGCTTTGAAGGCTCTAATGGGTTGAAGCACTCAAGGCAGAGATGGGATACAGATAACATTTGGAGCATAGGTACAGAGACAGGCAGTGACTAGGGCAGCACTATGAAGGAAGAGAAGGCTAGTATTCAGTATGGGGTCACAAGATACATAGTAATCTAGTTATGAGTCCTAACAGTAAAATAGTGACTGGTCAAAGTGAATCTACTTAACATGTCTGCCTCTACTGCATTGCCCTTTCGACTTCTGTACTGGATTAATGCTACTGAATTCCAAAGTATCAGTACTTGATGGATCTGTGCTATTGTTGTTGCTTGTTCTGAGGGTTGTTACAGGCACTGGGACAGATGTTACAATTTGATGGGATTCAGATGCAGCAGGAATGTTTGTGTCAGTGATTGAAAGCAAATCTGGGGTGGACAGACCAGAACTATCCATCTTGTCTGCATCATCTTCTGATAGTGCAGCAGAGTCCATTGCTGCCATCACAGCATCAATCTCCACAGAAAAGTCCTCCATTGCACCCATCCTGGACTTCATGGCTGCTCCAGGGTTCCCAAACACAAAGTGGTTCATCTCCATGACAATCTTCTGGATGTGATGGTCCGTCCACTTTGTAATGAGCACTTGTTTATATGCACAGAACACTTGATAGTAATCGATTTTTGAGATAGCCCCACAACCATTCCCTGGGAACTCCTTGTCAGGAGAAAGTAGAAACATGCACTGTAATGACAAGAATTAAATCAGTAACATGTAACACAGCATCACTGTAAGTTACTCACCATTGTTGCAGCCCATGCAATAGATCCTGGTGTCACTGCTATGACCTGCCACTTCTGCCCATTCATCTTTGGTCCACCACGATGAACAAAGCCTTCTGTGAGTGACATCTTGCCCCATAGTGCTCCTTTCAAAATCTATTCCTTGTCAGTGGAAAATTGAAGGAATGTAGTTTTGACTCACCTGAGCAAGCAGTTTCCAGTTCATGAACAGTTTATGCACGTCAAGCTTCATGTCCTTGAAGAGAAAGGGGAACCATATTGTGAAATGTTGGTTTGGAGTGCCTATGTCCTTGACTCCAAGCATCTTTGTGATTTCAGGAACTTTGAGATGAGATGCATTTGGTGAGAAGTGGTTCTTCGGCAGAGCGAAGGTTTTGTGGGCATTGTCACATAGCTTGTAGAGGATGTCAGACTGACCACTTTGCATTGCTTGTGCAAACTGGGACATCATCAGCATAGTAAGATCATATGGTGGGCATGAATGTACAACATCAAGGAAGAAATGGGTGTTTCTGATTCTATGCAGATGCTCTGGGAGTATGGAATCGAGCTCAGTGACAAGACCCTGTTCCTCCACCATCCTGCTAGCATAATGCTCAGCTGTTGCAAACATGGGGGAAGGTGACTTTGGCAGCTCCGACATGGTGTTGGTTAGTGGTGTTTGTGGCAAGAACATTTCCATCATTACAGCATATGTTTTCCCCAGTGTCTTGATCTCGCTGTTGTACACAATCACGTCAGCAGGAATGTCCTCCATAGAATGGTGGGTTTTGTTTGCCTCTAGGACAGCATTCTTCTCTAATAGTTCCCAATTGTGGGATTTTTCTATGTCAAGTTGCAGCTGGATGGACCTTAGCACCTGTGAAGTAGTCAGTAAGAACAGTTCTTTGTGAAAAAACATGATTACATACCTCTGCGAGATCACTATTGCCTTCTCTTGAATGGGATGATGTGCTTGCGATGGTCCATTGATGACCTTCAGCATCAGGGTCATTGAGGTTGGTGAGTGCAGATTGAGAGCACCCATTGAGATTCATTATTATTGTGGATAGGCTGGGAGCATGGTCAGGTAGCACAGGGACTGGGTGCTGGAGTCACTGATTGTTTCTTTGTGCCCTTTTGAATGCAGGAGCAGCATGTACAGCCAATGTTGATGAGAGCAATATTAGATGTCATGACAGGCAAATATGATTATCTGTTCAGAAGACATCAGCAGAACCCAAGCTTGACAGGATATCCACATTACCTTAGAAAGATCCTCAAGCTTCTGACTGTCTGTATATGAAATTGAAAGTGCTTCCTCAAAATGATTGAGACTGTGCCAGTGGGCCATTGCATTGATACTAGTATATTGTTAGCAAACCTGTTTCAAGCAACAAGATACTCACTTTCACTCAGCCTTTCCCATTGTCTGATGACCCATTTTCTTGAGGATCTTCAGAAGCTCTCCCCACAGATGATCACCAAACAATCCCAACACAATGTGTGATAAATGTCCATGTTTGTGACTGCATGAAAGGCACTCTGAAGAGGAAGCAGGCCATAGTAAAGGTAATGATGCAAGTTACTTACATCTACATCATGTAGTCCTTGCTTGATTAGAATTTGTTCTTTTTCATCCACTTGGTTCTGGGACCACACCTCCTGTAAAGTCTTGGAAGCATTCTTGCTCATACAAAGTTCACAGTTCATGGGGAATTTCGATATCTCATTCTGATGAATGAGACAAACCAGACAAGGGTGATGTGACATGACACCACATATGAGTGCCATGACTGCTCTAAATGTTGAGATAGTCAGTCTGCAGTTGCATGATTTCACCTACCCTAACCACTCACTGCTCTTCATAATCAGCAGAAAGAATTAGTATGGTAGGGAAAAGTTGATGTGGGACACCATCCCAACATGTTACCCAACAGCCATTTTTCAAGTAGACTGAAATGGTGTCCAGAATCTCCTTGAACAATTCATGCCAAATGAGATTCTTGAAGTTGGCAAAAGATGTCTTTCCAGAATACCTCTTGTCTTCATTTACCTAGAAGTGCAAAAAATCAGTAAGTATGCTCGACACCATCAATAAAAGTACTGTACAATTAGTAGCCACCCAACTACCTGGCCACCACCTAAGCCTTCACTGTTCCAGATCCAAGTGGGGAGGTTAGCAAGTTGCACAACAACTGGATACCCTTTTTGTTGACCAAATGACAATAGTTTGGCTTTATCAGTGTACAAGATGAATGCCAGAACCTTGCCATCAGGTGGAAAGTCACTCTGAAAAAAGGAAAAAGCAATTGTTGAAGATACAGACTTAAGACTAACAACATACTTGTACATTCCAAAAATTGTCAGCTATCCATGGTTCATCAATGAAATGAAAAAATGAGGAGCCATCAAAATTTGATAGGCGCTGAGCATCAAATACAAAATACAGCCCCACACTGGTATCCTTCAAAAGATCAGAAGCCCAATCCCACAGTGACTGATAGTGCACTTCAAACTCCATCGTCTTACCCACAAATGGTGCACTTATTACACTTTCCTGAAACTGGACTAGTGTGTGATTAGTGTTGGCAGTAATAGTAAGTTAACAATGCATACTGTCATCATGCAATGGGAAGCAGCCCACCAAGTACTCTCAAGATCATTGTAAGTTTCTAGGGTGCACTCCTCAGTATGAAAACATCTTGAAAGCTTGAGGATAAAATTAATTTGCTCCCTGTTGAGGGTGGCCCCATGGATGAATTCTGAAAGGTTGAAATCGAGATGAGTGTGAAATGGACACCATGGAGCTGTGCAGGGATCAGGGGTGTATGATTTGGGTGCATAGCCTTGACTGAACTCAGTAAATGGCACCATTACAGTTGGCTTTCCAGCATTCAGGTGGTATTTGACTTGGATATCATCAACATTGATATCAGCCTCAGGTTCAACAGCTGCACAGTGAATCAATATGAATGATACAAACTGAACGTTGACATGTGCCATCCACCAGGTCATCTGCACCCACAACACTAGCTGCTGACTCAAAATCCACAACCATGGGCCATAATGCTGCAGACTCTGTGAACAGTTGTGAGAATGCAATCTGAAGGGTAACAGGATACTTACCAGGTGCTGGTCCCATGTTCACCACAGTGGAGGATCCAGTTGCTGATTCCAGATCATTATCAATGGCAAGTCATCCTTGTGAATGTTCACCTGTGCCAGAACAGATCCCCAACAATAAATCAGGAAATTCAGCCAGTAGAAACCAGGTGCACCTTGTTGATGAAGCAAGTCAAAATGAGCAGAATCTTCATGTGTTTTGTGGATTTGCCTGAGACATGATTTGCAATGAGGACCTATTCCAGTTGACTTGAATGATTTCCCACATGATTCACATGAAACAGTTTGCTTTTTGGGAGGCATATTGTTGGTAAATGAAAGGAATGTGGTCCTGAAGAAAAAAGGCAGTTAGTACAGGGAGAAAAGTGAGTGGAAAGGGAGATGAGAGGCAGAATTGGTAGCAGCCACTATTGTGAAGGGCATTGCAATGACCTTGCCAGTGAATTGCAACCCTGTGCTGTGAGTCAAAGTGTGGTTCAGTGGTGAAAACCAACCAAAACCAACACAAAAGACAAAAAGAGTGTGTGGTGGTGTGCCTATGCAGTACCTAGATGGTAGAACCTGTTCTTTGGGAGGGTTGTTGTGAGCTACAACACTCAAAGATGAGTGCTGAGGGATGGGGGTGCTCCTGATGAAGAAGAAGCAGGAATGTGAGAGAATGTGGTAGGGTAGACTGCTGTCAGCCTACAGAAGGATGGATGACAACTTAATTCAATGTCCTAAGCTGCACTGAGCTCAGGGAGGGCTTGGAGCAAAGTATATTGATGATAGACAAGGATAAGCAAAGTAGACAACAGTTAGACCCTTAATAGAGTCTCAACTATCAAAGCTGCTGAATGAATTACTGAGTGATGATAAAATGTGAGCAAGAGGGGCTCTCTGATGTCTTCTTTTTTTTGCTATCTAAGTACAGTGATTTATATACAGTACAGGGGTGTTGCCCATGGAAAACAAGGTGCAAACACTTGGTAAGTGATTGGTAACTGATGAGTAAGGAATGTAAGTGATGGGTAATCATCTTGGAAAGCATTGGTAAGCATTGGTAAGGATTAGCAAGCCAAAAGGTGAAGGATCAGTAAGCAAAGTCAAAAGATTGGTAAGTATTGGCAATAGGTGAGTCAAAGACAGTCACAATGTCAAAGGAGTCAAGTAATGTCAGGAACTGGGAAAGCACACTGGAATTGCATTAGGGGGAGGCTGTGCATGTCACATCTCAAAGAGATTGCTTCTAGGCCAAGGTGGGATGACAGAGAGGCAGTGCTGATCTGATGCTGATATAGTACATCCAAAAGTGGACAGGGTGAGTCAGATGTCAACAGGGTTCAAGCTTTGGGGGTCTGTGGGGTGACAGGAGCATAGGGGATTGCAACCTTCCCCCCCAAACCATCCTCTCAGTGAAGCAAATAAAAACTTCATGAACAAGGCTCTGTTGGAAGAGAGGATGAAGGGGGAGTGTCTTCTGCTGTATCTTGCAACAAGGAGGCAAGATGTGCATCATACTCATCATGGATGTGATCAGGGAGAGTGGAGAACAGTAGATTATACTGTAGCTGTTGCAATCTTGGAAGAATGATGGACAAGACTGGTATGAAGACATTGCAGGGAGCAGGGAGGAAGGATCCATATGCTTCTTGTACTGGAGAGACTGAAATGACCACATAAGACCTTTCCAAGTGAATGACAGACCTGAGGCAACCAAAGAATGTCCTCCTAGAGGTCATACCGACAAAAAGAACATGCTGTCCAAGCTGGATGGGCTGAGAGGGCACAGATGAGGGTGGGATGTACCAGGATGCTTCAGGACAGAAGCTGGTAGGAACTCCTGGTAGATATATGTAGCCATGGTCCCTAGCAAAGGGGACAAGTGAAATGAGTGATGTAGAGGTGGTCATATCAGAAGAATTTAGTGAAATGAGTGTCTTTTGGAGGGAGTGCTGTAGAAATGTGTGGAGTGCACAAATCCTTTCCAATTTTGGAAGGTAAGATTGCATGGCTGAGCACTACAAGTGAGTGTAGGAATGGTCTCAGTATCTGCAGAAATGGCAGAGATATGTCAAAAACTGGAATGCTGTACACAGGCACTTAAGAATTTTAGCCAGCACTTAACTCACTCCCTTTCTTTTTCTCTGGCACTGATGACTTGTTCTTGTGTGAGGGATGACTGCCAACATTTCTGGCTGTCCTTCTTTGCATGAGGGCTATGGTCTTCATCTCCATTCATCAGCTGTATCCATGTCCACCTCACCAAACACCTTTGGTGTGTGACAGCACTCCCACACACAATCTTATCATAAACTGATTATCACCATGTAAAAATCTGACATCATCGCAATGAACTAAATAATTTTCCAACATTCACACTCCTTTCTCATTCATCTGAGAATTAGGGATCATTCCTTTTGGGAGGTGGCTGAGTGAAGACAAGCTCAGGCTTCTGAATCAAAAAGGGTGGAGTGTGAGTGAGGGAAAGTGAACAACCTAAGAGCTTGCATGGAAAGCACAGTTTAGTTGCAGTTCACTAACTTGTTGGATTGTTCTTGTTTGATGGGTAGTGCACAAGTTTGGCATAAGGTCTAGCAGTATGTCAGAGATTGAACCCAACAGAGCCACCTGACCATCCAGATGTGGACAGAGCTTTACTTCAGCAAATCTTCACTGTTCTTCAGATGCTCCTGGCTGTTGTTATTGTGCAGAGGAACAGGACAGGGTGAAGAACAAAGACAGAACACTTGCCTTTATTCTTGAGTTGAAGTGGTAGGTTTGAAGTAGAGGTTACAAGTAGAGCTGGGGCTCAATACAAGTGAATTGTTCTTTAGGTAGAATGATGGGGAGTACAGCAGAAATCCCTGAGTTTATATACATGTAGACCTATGCATGGACCAGTAGTGTAAAAGGAAGGTACTACTATGTATGGTAAGGAATAGTGGAGAATTTCATGGAACATGACATAGTAAATGATGTCATACTGACATCATTGTGGAGCTGTCTGACTGAGCATGTCATGTGATACAACATATGTATCAAAACATGTAAATCTAGATGTATCTAGATGGTTGGAACTATTAGATATTTCCAACACTCCCCCTTGCTCTAGAATGGGAGATTAACCAGTCCCATTGATGAGTGATTCATTTCAAATTTTTGCCACATCAAAGATTTTGTTAGACCATTGGCTTTCTGTTTGTCAATTTGAACATATTCAATACCAAACAAACTGTCTTGTACACATTCATGTACAAAGTGCCATTGGATGTCGATATGTTTGGAGCATCCATCTGAGACAGGATTCTCAGCAATAAAGTGAGCACCCATATTGTCACAGTATAATATGGTCTTATCAGTTTTAAGTTTGAATTCATCAAATAGCATGTGGAGCCATTTGATTTAATGTGCAGCATCACAGAGAGCCATATACTCAGCTTCTGTAGAAGAGAGTGCAATTGTCTTCTGTTTGTGAGAATGCCAAGAGATTAATGAAGTGCCAAGGAACATGGCATAACCAGTTGTCAAATGATGAGTGTCTTTATTTGATGCCCAATTGGAATCAGCAAATCCAAAAATCTGTGATTCAAGTCCAGAGTAGTAAAGCACAAGTTTTGGAGTAGATGCAATATAGTGAACTATATGCAACACTTTGTTGTGATGATCCTCAGTGGGATTTGCCATATATTGACCCATGTGTATGATGGCATAAGCAATATCTGGATGTGTACCAAGGGCCATATAAAGTAAGGACCCAATAATAGATTGGTACTGTGAGTGGAGTTGGGAAGTTGCTTGATAATTGGTGGGGGCTTTTTCCAGTTGGTATCCCAAAGGTAATGGAGTGCAAACATTTCGAGCAGTCTCCATGTTGAACCTTTTGATAACTTCTTTGACATAGGGAATTTGATCGAGATAAAGTTCTTTCCTCAATTGATCTCAGTGAATTTGAATTCTGAGATATTCTTTTACATCCCCTAAGTCACAAGATTCCCATTTCTTCATGAATTTGTCTTTCTTGGCTTTGAGAAGATGTTTGTCCAATCCTAAAAATAATCCATTTTTGACATAGATGAGGAATATGACTATGCCAGCTTTTGATGAATGAATATAGATGCCAGCATCCACTTTAGATCATATATAACCCATGCAAAGTAAGGATGCATGTAGGGCTTTGTTCCATGCAAGTGCCACTTGCTTGAGACTGTAAAGGGCTCTAAGCAGCTGATATACCTTGTGTTCATGACCCAGAACTTTGAATCCTTCTGGTTGCTCCATATAAATTTCTTCATCAAGGTTTCCATATAGGAAAGTGGTTTTGACATCCAGGGCTTCCATTTCCCAATTCTTTTGGGCAGCAAATGCAAGTAAGATTCACACTGTTTCAAAGTGAGCCACTGGAGAGAAGGTATCTTC